GAAAAATCCATCCTGCTGTATGCGTCTTGTCTTGATAGGCTGCAGGCATTAGGAGATGGCAAGGACCCTGCAAAGAAAGGAGAGCCTTCTTCCAAAAACAGCTTGCTAACCTCTAAATGCTAACTACAAATGACTTAAGATGTAAACAAAACTGGAGCAAGGTCAGTAGTCTCCTTTCCCCTCTTTGGAGCCTGCAAGGATGAGGTTCCTCACAAGGATGAGTTTCTTAAATTTTTACCTCCTTTAAAGACTTTAAGATCTTTGTGACTTTATCCCACAGCCTCCAGGGAGAGACATGTAGGATCTTTACTCTAGCTTCCACACTATTGATTTTGCTCCCATTTAATATTTTAACTGAATCTGATGAACAGAGATAGTGACAGAAATGCTATCACTGTACACCATCTGCCCATACTTGCTCTGTTAATTCTCAGTTCTCTGCATAACAGCTTTGAGTATTTACTGGAGGAACTTGGTTACAGTCCCTGACAGATACTGTACCAACTTGGTAAGCGTTCCATTTCCCTCCCTCTTCACAGAAATAAGACTTTCACTATTGTTTATACAACTCTCTTCCCTCTCCTCTCTCCAATAATTTCAAAACCCACTTGACTGATTTGAGCTACATTTGACAGACAGATAGTAATCTTAAAGATGGGAAGTTCCTTTCAGTCTCAAAAATCAGCAATCACAATCAGTTGGGATAAGAGAGAAATCTAAATTAATGGTACCTCTTAGGCATTAATCCTTGTTTTCCATTCCAAGAATCTGTGGTTGTGCAACTGATGCCCCTAACCATGGTCTGACTTATCTCTTGCGCAGCCAGGCAGATAGGGAAATACAGTACAGCGAGTAGTCACAGGGCCAAGAGCTGATGGCTCCGTGAGGGATGTTTATTATGCTGGGGCACCTGGACTGCAGGATACACCTCCATTGGAAACCAGGCTTGTTAATCCCACTGCTTGTGGAAATACATGGGATTTAGTCTGTTTTCTTAACTTCAGCAACTGGCTAGTAAAAAACCCACAATAGAGAGAACTTGCAGAGTTAAGCTGAAAACAGTGCCTATAACAATAGTTCCTCAAATACCTAAAGGAGGTCTGGGCTTAGTAACATTACTGTCTAAGAGATGGTACGTAGATTAAGCACTGCATTTTAACCCTGAAACAAATGCACTATTTTCACAAAAACTTGTCATTTAACTGTAAAAGTAACAAGGTGCATCCTCTCCAAGCATATTGACACGTGTCTAGTTCCACCACACTGGGGAGGAGGGACTGGATCTCACCTTACGGTCCATAATTTGGACAGGCTGCCTTATCTGGTGTCCGTGCAGAAATACTGGTGTGGAAATGATTCACTGTGGGAACAGTTTTACCCTGCCTATCAGCCACTCAGTTGCATTACAAGGAAATAAGTTGGTGCTGAGATTGATAATATTCTGTTGTTTTGGAGACTTGGCTAAATAAGACTGGTTTCCTAGGTATCATAGAGAGCATATGCTTCAACACCTGATACTTACATAAATCTGATATTAAGACACTTGTTTAGATGCACTTTATTTATTACTTTTGTTAGTTATTTAGGCCTAGATTGGAAAAGGTATTTAGGTACTTATATCCTGTCACTTTTCTCTGACAGTTCTGGTTGTGGGACTCAGGAGCTGTTGATAAATGCCGGAGGTAAATGTACAGTTTACCTATGAGAAGTCGGTAGAGCTGCCCAAACAGAAAGACTGGGGCAGCTGGCAATTTTAAGATATTTTAATTTTCTTTCTGGGTTGACTTTCTTTCCCTGTCTAGTGTGAGCTGCCAAAACTCACAGGCATTGGCACCACAGGTAAAAGAACTGCCATAGGTACGGGCAACACTGCCAAAGCTTTGCCATGGCCCTATTTAGGCTAACACAGTCCTATGTCTTCGCATAGGCTGACACACATTGACTTCTTCATCACTCACCCATGCGCAATGCAAACCCTTGAAGTCTTATTTTTGCTGATGGCTGCAGCTCTGGGGAATCTTTTTGCTGATATATAGGATTTTTAGGGGATATTATTAGCTTATTTACATGAAACTCCCATTGACATGAAAAGCTTTAATATGAAACTAGGGTGGCTTCATTGTCTTGCCAAAAATACATACTCTGATAAGGCTCGCCTATAAAAGCCAGTGAGGATTAATGCATAGGTAGCATAGTGCTAACACTGTAAATGATAGTAACTCCAGTTAAGTTAAGACAGAGAAAGAGGAACCTTCCACCAAGATCCCATCTTTCCCACCTAAGAGGACAGTACCTGGCCATGTTCAATTTGGGTTCATCTTTGAATGGTTATATTAATCACCAATGAAAGATGCCCAACCACTTACAGCTTGTTACTTTTTGCTATGTTTGCATGTGCATACATTCATTAGCAAAGATTTCTAGCATCCTTGCTTCTGTTCTGCATGGTCATCTTGATGCCATAGAGCAACACCTTGTAACAAGCAGTGAGGGATAGCTGCCAGGCTGCCTGCTGCCTGTGTATTCTCCACAAGTCTGCAACATATGCGATCCTATCTGCATCTCTACATGTGAATGGTTGTGATGGGTATGGCAGGGCTTTTGGGTCTAGCCATCATCCCCTACTGCAGTTGTATCCTAAAGATTCATGAACAGGATTTTCAGAAGCAGCTCAGTGACTTAAAAGCATCAGTTTTTATTGGATGTCAATGGTATACGTGCTCCCACAACATTTAGGTCCTTTGAAAACTCTCTTCTCCAATAATAAGGGAGTCCATAGGCAAACTTCTTTAGATCACTTCCTGCCTCAATTAGCAGTAATTAACAAGAACACATGTGGCACTGCACTGCAGAAGTGGCTAAAAATGGCATTACCTAGAGGATGCAGCTGTAGGATCAACACAATTCATTCTCTTTTGGTACATGAAACTGTTAGGATCTCTTCAAACTTGTAATCAGTAATCCATTTCTCCCTTTGATATGACACCCAAGATTCAATATACCACTTTCTCTTGTTCCTACTTGCTCACCCCAGTAACTTTATTAACACAAGTCTAGGCTATGAGCACACAAAGACTTGAGTGCCTATTTCACAGCTCTTCCCTGCCATGATGTGGCATCCTTGCAGATGTGGCCCTATCCCATGTGGGGATGCAGCACTCAAGTAAGAAGGAAGGGGTGTATGCAGGCCCTGCCCAGCAGCAAAGGTATCTGTGGTATGAGATAGGTCAGTTCTCTTTTCCACTTCCTTGCTTGTTTGCTTGTTCGTTTGCAAAAGGAATCAACAGTGGGATGTCATTGCATGACTCAGAACTGGAGCCCCCAGTACAGGTAAATAGCACTTAGACTTTCATCTGGTTCTGCCCCAGACCAGCCTGGCCCATGAGCTTTGCTGGGGAGTCAAGAGATGGGAACTGGAGGTTTCCTCTTTGAAAAGGCATCAGAGAAGACAGAGCATACCTCAGTCCTAGCTCCTCCAAGAACAAAAATCAGCTAATTATACAATCATAGAACCACAGAATGGTTTGGGTTGGAAGGGACCTTAAAGGCCATCTAGTCCAACCCTCCTGCCATAAGCAGGGACATTTTTCACTAGACCAGGTTGCTCAAAACCCCATCCAACTTGACCTTGAACACTTCAGTGATGGGGCATCCACAGTTTCTCTGGACAACCTGTTCTACTGTCTCACCACCCTCATAGTAAAGAATTTCTTCCTTATATCTAATCTAAATCTATCCTTTTAGTTTAAAATCATTGCCCCTTGTTCTGTCACTACAGGCCCTGATAAAAAGTTTCTCTCCATCTTTCTTATAAGATCCCCTTTAAGTACTGAAAGGCTGCAATAAGGTCTCCCTAGAACCTTCTCTTCTCCAGGCTGAACAGCCCCAGCTCTCTCAGCCTTTTTTCGTAGTGTTCTAGCCCTCTGATCATGTTGGTGGCCCTCCCCTGGATCCAGTCTAACAGACCCATGTCTTGTGCTGGGGGCCCCAGAGCTGGACACAGTACTCCAGGTGGGTCTCACTAGAGTGGAGTAGGGGGAAAGAATCACCTCCCTCGACCTGCTGGCCAGGCTGTTTTTGATGCAGCCCAGGATACGGTTGGCTGTCTGGGCTGTAAGCGCACGTTGCCAGCTCACATCCAGTTTTCCATTCACCAGTACCCACAAGTCCTTCTCCACAGGGCTGCTCTGAATCCATTAATCCACCAGCCTGTACTGATACCAGGAGTTGCCCCAACCCAGGTGTAGGACCTTGCACTTGGCCTTGTTGAACTTCATGAGGTTCACATGGGCCCAATCCTCAAGGCTGTCAATGTTCTCCTGGATGTCATCCCTTCCCTCCACCAAATCAACTGTACCACTCAGCTTGGTGTCATCTGCAAAATTTCTGAGGGTGCACTCAGTCCCACTGTCTTTGTCATTAATAAAGATACTGAACAGTACTGGTCCCAATATGGAATACTGAGGGACACCACTTGTTGCTGATCTCCATTTGGACACTGAGCCTTTGACTGTAACTGGATGCAGGCATCAAGCAAATTCCTTATCCATCGAATAGTCCATCCATCAAACCCATATCTCTCCAATTTAGAGGTAAGAATGTTGTGGGGGACCATATCAAAGACCTTACAGAAGTCCAGGTAGTTGACAGGTAGCTTGCTTCTGCTAAGCTTGGAGTGGCTCATCCTGCACTGCGTATCCCAAGGACATCAGAGGTGATACCAGCATTTCAAATTGCACCTGGTGGGATCCCACTTGCCTGGAGGCTCGCTGCAGGTGAAGGTCCAGCCTCACTGGCTCTGGGCTTTTCTCTGGGCTCCTCCTGCAACTGGGAAATGCCAGAGGACCCAGCCTGCAGCAGGGAAGGAGTTAAGTGCTTGACCAGCTGCCGTCTATGAGGCACTGAATTCTTTCCCCGTGCGATCCAGCAGCCAGCGTCAGGACAACACTATATTTAGAAGGCTGATAAAGGTTTGGTGCTGACAGTTGTCCTGCCCCTTGATGAAGAAGCCATAGAGAGAGCAAGAGGGGGCAGCTGATTTCTCTCCCCGCAAGTACCATTCCCTGCCAGGTTTCCTGCCCTCTTCGCTGGACTCCTTCACCGTGCCTCCGTCCCCAGCAGGGACCCCTGGAGGATTCATCCGGGCACAGGGGGTAAGTGCCCCTTCCTTGCTCCCCTGCCTCCCTGCTCGCTGCCCCATGAGCGGCAGCCGCTCCTCACCCCCGGTGGCGGCACATGGCCGCAGTCCTCCCGCCTGAGGCTGGCAGCTGGGGCCCTTCGGAGCTGCCGCCGGCTGCCGTGGCACGGCGAGGCAGGAGTCGCTCTGGCCAGACCCAGGGAAGTGCCAGCTGCTGTATTTTCATGCTCCTAACTGAGCTATGGCCCCCTCGCTCTCCCACGCCCAGGGCGGGCATGGCAGCCTCCCCACAAAGGATTACAAGGACAAAGTCCTGAGGCTTAAAGCGCCTTCGGCCTTGAGCTTTAGGAGCATTTCATTTTGGGGAGGTGAGGTCTCATGTTTCCTCCCCCAGTGCTCCTTCCAGTCCGGGTCTGGCTGGGTACAGCTCCTTCCAGCCGCCACACATGGGCTGAGCCGGCCGGCCGGGGGGGGGGATAGAGTTTCTGCCCCACCACTCCTTCCTTCCTGCACGCTTACTCACAGGCAAGAAGGGCACTGGTGCTCGCTGGGCAGCAGCCAGGGAGCTGCACGAGGCCTCGGGAATGGCAGGCACCCTGGCAGAGAAGCCAGTGCAGCTGGCTTGCGGCAAGGGCTGCTTGCGGGGTTGTGGGAGCCCCTTCTGCCGTACCCCCCCCCCCCCCTTGCCACCACAGCCCCACAGCTGGGGGATGGCCTCCCGTGCAGACTCCTGTAATGGCCCTTCGTCCTGCCGTGCTCCCCTTGTAGTGGATCCTCTTGGAGCTGCCATGGCCAGCAGCAGAGATTCGGACAGCAAGCAGGTGGTGCCCGATGAGGAGGACGAGGGACCGGATGTGAAGGCTGTGCAGGCCCGCTATCTCCGCAGCCCCTCACCCAGCCGGTGAGTATGCTTGCCGCAGGCGCTGCCATGGCCCCCTGGTAGCACGCGGTGGATCAGCTTGCCTTCCCTCCTCTTCTACCACCTCCTCTCCGCACAGGCACTTGGATCAAGCGTGGAGCCCAGGGCTTCCCTCCCCTCCCTGAGGCGGGGGTTAGTATGCCAGTAGGAAGAAAGACTGCAGAGATAGGACTCCTGCGCTAATTAATCCATCCTGCTGAGAGTGTAGGCACACACAGAGAGGATAAATTGCAGAAGGCATTACTATGGGGTGGTATAGTTGCTCTTCCCTGTGTCGTCTTCCCATCTCCACTCCCACGCTGAAACTTCTGATCCGGTTTTCAACTTTTCCCAAATTCAGCCCCATCTTTCTGTCCATTAGAAGGACCTGTGGATTTTTTTAATGTTGATGTTTGCCTTTCCCAGCCCCAGAAAGACTGAGGGTCTTTGGATTTGGGTTTGGTTCAGAGCCATCTTTAGCTACAGGCTTCAGGCACTGAACGGGAGGCTATCACAGCGCAAGCAGAAATTGAGTTTCCTCAAGCAAAACAAGCATGATTAGATGTGTTTTCTCCTAATACAAGGAAAAATACCTCCCTTTGTACTCTTTTCCTAAAGCAAAATGGTCTGCAGGGCTTTCTGTACACTTTGAGATGCTTTAGCTGAAGGCAGGGAGTAGGGATCAAGTTTGAAAAGAACCTGCCCCAGTGGCCCTCAACAAGTATGAGGTTATGAAATGTTTCCCATTAACTGTGGGGCACTGCAGAAAAATGAAGACAGAGTGCCTATTTCATTTAACTACATGCATTTAAAAATTGTTTAGGAAGTTCACTGAGCTCACATAAAGTAAACTTATGTATTGAACTTGGTAAATCACTCTCCTGCTCATCAGTCACTCAAAATGAACAGAAGCACCTCTTCAGTTTATTCCCTTCCCCTTCCCCTTCCCCTCCCCTCCCCTTTTGGCAAGGCCCTTCCCAGCCAGAACAAGGCCCTTAAAGCATCCAGACCTGGGCAGTTCTGCACCTGTGTGTTTCATAGATGCTTGGGGTAGCTACAGGTAAAATGTGTTGAGGCTGTGGTGGCAGATTATTACCAACTGTTATCTTTTTATTGAGCTTGGAGGCAACCTTTACAGCAAAAGGAATTGAAGGCAGGGCATAGCTGCAAATTTGTGTCAGCTCCTGTAAATCAGACTGAGACTCCCCTTGCTCATCTAATAAACTCCTTTGAAGAGCTAGAAAAGGATTACTTTCAGTCACGGTTGACAAGTGCTGGAACCCAACTAAATGACCTAGACGAGCCCATTAAGTGGTTTCCGATGGCTGTGCCTTCCATTTTGATTCTGGAGAATGAAAGCAGTTTAGCTCTCCAGACACTTTGCTGCACCCTGACTGCACATTAATCATCCTCCCTCTCCTGCTTTAATTAAACAAAAACAAACAGTGTGTTGCAAGTACTGCAAGCCTGCATTGCCAGAGAGCTTCTGTGATGGCAGCAAATTTGTCCTAATGATCTGTACCATCTGTTTGGAAGGAAATGTAGAGGGTGTGCATCAGGGAGAAAGCTCTGTAAAATATTTTGTTAAGATGGTCTAAATAAGAAGAGATTTGCTTGGACTGTACAGGCGTAGCCAGATGGAAATATATTTGTTTTCAAGATTGAAGCCCTTTTTTGCTTAACAAAAACTTATGTAAATCATGCTGTGTGTCAAAGAACTCCCTTCAAAGATGTTTGTGGGTTTCATAGTTATTTCTGATCTGCAGTTAGACAACACTATGTGAGTGGAGAGACTGACCACAGATTTCATGCTATGAAGTGACCAATGTACTATGCACTGAGGGAGAGATTCACAGGCTTCGATCTTAATGCTTGCATTGCAGCTTGTGATAACTCAAAGAATGCTTGTAGGCAATTAGCTAACAACAAAAAAAACCCAACCCAACAGTTTTCTAGCATAATCTGGTTTGAATTTTTCAATAAATTCTAGTTAGGACAATGTTTATGTCTGTCTGAGTGAGAGCTACTTGTGAGACTATTCCTTGTGATCCATCTCCCTCCCAGTCTCAAACCAGACACTGATTTTCTCTACCCAAAACCTCCTCCACTAGTCCATTCTCTTGCACTCACAGTCCACTGCAGCTCCTCCCCATGGGACCTGTCTGCATCCTGCAAACACTGGATACCAAGGCATATTTGAAGCCTGTAACACCATGCTGGAGAGCGGGGTGGGGGTGAGGGGTGGGAGAAGAGCTGGGACTTCCCTTCTGCTGCTCCAGTTCCCTGTTGCTCTCTTCTGGAGTGGGTGAAAAGGGCTAAAGTCCTGGAGATGGGATCCCAGTAGAGAACATTTGCCTAATATGCAGTGTGGTTTGTTGGCAGGTATTCAGTGATATCGGACACTGATACAGAGAGCATCTTCATGGAGCCAATCCATCTGTCATCTGCTGTGGCTGCCAAACAAATAATCAATGAAGGTAAGAGGAGGAAGGGTGAAAGCACTATGTAAGTAATAGAGAGATGAGTTGCGCTTGTTTTGCCTTTCTCATCCAGAGATCCTAAAATGATAAAAAAGCCTTTATGAGAAAACCCCACCTGAGGTAGAGGTGAAAACCGCAAAGAAGTAACAATTTACAGAAAGGTTTGGTGACTTCCTTTGAAGTTGTTCACTGAATCTGTGGCAAAATCATGTACTGCAGTGGTGAATACAGTTTGATTGCTGGTTGCTCGCTGCAACATATTTCAGTTGGAAGGGACCTACAGTAATCATCTAGTCCAACTGCGTGACCACTTCAGGGCTGACCAAGAATTAAAGCATGTTATTAAAGGCATTGTCCAAATGCCTCTTAAACACTGACAGGGATGGGGCGTTGACTGTCTCTCTAGGAAGCCAGTTCCAGTGTTTGACCACCCTCTCAGTAAAGAAATGTTTCCTAATGTCCAGTCTAAACCTCCCCTGGTGCGGCTTTAAACCATTCCCATGTGTCCTGTCACTGGATCCCAGGGAGAAGAGATCAGCACCTTCCTCTCTACTTCCCCTCCTCAGGAAGCTGCAGAGAGTGACTGCATTCTTCTGCGGCTAGAATAAGCATTCCCTTAACTCCCAGGCCTTTGGCCTTTGTGGGTCTCTGGACTGAGAGGACAGTGCAATATGCTTTTCCCATTACTAACTACCTTGAGGCTGCTAGATAAGCATGTACATGCACACATTGCAGACAGGACGGTGTGATGTTACTGGGAAAAAAGCAAGCCACAAGGCTTATCCCAGGAACAAAGAATGACAGGTCATATATTTGTGTTGTTTTTACATGCTTTTAGTTACAATGTCAGTTTATTACAGAACTGAAGACAAAGGACGCCAAGGTAGATTCAGCGTGTCCCAGGATGTTAGAGTCTGCGCGGCAGCTGATGGTGGAAGACCTGTACAACCGAGTTAAGGAAAAGATTGATGACACCAGCTTGTTTAACACGCCGTGTGTGATGGACTTGCAGAGGGCACTTGTGAAGGACAGGCTGGAGACCCCCAGGGATGCTGTGGATGAAGTCTGGCCTAATGTCTTCATAGCAGAAAAGTGAGTGTCAGCTTTTGTCATCAAGTTGCATGAGATTCCCAGTGAAGGGTCAGATAGAACCATTGAAGGTATAATATGTATCACGTCCATCTAATACCTTTCATCCCTAGAGAGCCCCAAAGTGTTTTTCAGTATATGCTCACAAGGATCTCTGTGTCCGGAAAAGTAAATACTTCTGCAATAGAATCAGCAGCTTTCCTGTGCTATTTTGATGCTTCGACAGTTTAGGAAAGGAAAAGGCAAATGAGCCCAAATTACATTGTTCTGATTGGAATTTGGCCCTGAAATTGGCTCTAAATTCTTTGATATGTAAAAGAGATTTAAAAAAGAAATGCCGTAGCAAATATCAAGTGGAAATGGCTAGGTCTTTTGTACCGTGGCTCAGCCATCTGAGACACCTGTGCAAGTGACCAGACAGAATTAGAAGGGGATATAGTGTAAAGTATCAGTTACGGAGTGATAAAAATTGAGAAATAAGTAAACAGCCTGAACCTAGGATGGCAGGATGAGTTTAAAATCAAGCTGGAGCGTGCAGCTCTACTGGTGAGTGCAGGTTTCTCATTTTCTTTTCCCAGTGAGTATTGGAAAGAAATACCTGTAGAACTCTCAAAAGGACATTAAGGTCTGAGTGGAGCTGTGTGTTGGATGAGTACCACAGACTGGGAGCTCTGTAGACCTTGTAGCAGACAGCTTCTTGCCTACCCGAAATAGGACCACTGATATCTAATATCTTTTTTTCTTTTCTGAAGAAGTGTTGCAGTGAACAAAAGCCGTTTGAAGAGACTGGGGATCACACACGTCTTGAACGCAGCTCATGGTACAGGTGTATACACAGGACCAGGTTTCTACAATGGTCTGAATATCCAGTACCTGGGCATTGAAGTGGATGATTTTCCAGATATGGATATCTCCAAACACTTCCGCCCAGCTGCAGAGTTCCTTGACGAAGCACTGCTGACTTACAGGGGTAAGAGGAGAAGATTACAGTGGTTCCAGAATGCTTGGGAATTAATGGGTGGAAGTGTTACTCCGATAAACAGCCAATGCCACATTTGTAATTGGGTAGAAGGCAGATACTTTGTTCTCTGTATCCAATTATGGTCAACCCTTCTTGCCCATTTCTGCCATGCCTCATTCAAAACAGGAGGGGGCAAACTAGTGAGAGGAGGCAGCCCAGCAGCCTCTGCTGCAAGCCCCATGTTTTCGGACTCAGACTGGCTGCAAGCCACCTCCCTCAGCTGCTTTGAAAGCACCCTACTATTGCAAAGATGTGAAGCCCTGCTCCAATAAATATAATTTTTTATATTGATATTATATAATACTATATATATCGATATATTCCTGTACAGTGTGAGTTTCAGTTTTGCCAGGATGCTTACTACAAAAGAACAGGCTGATTTACTAGAACAATCCAAACAGCTGAGTTGAACCCGTGGATGTCCACACCCAGGCTACTGTACAATTTGCTAGACTCCAATTCCATGGCACCTGTTATTCTGTGGACCTCCAGTGCATACTGGTCATTTTGTTGCAGCTTCAGTGGACAGTTAGAAATATCTTTATGGAATTCAATATGAAAATGAACACCACAATCAGTGATATCACTGATATTCTTCATATATGTATTCAATGCATTTAATTTTTGTAGAGACAACAGGTTACTTCCTAGTAGAAGTGACAGTAAGAAAAGTGAGAAGTTTTGTTAGTACCAAAGAAAAGTTGAGCCAATTTTAATAGCTCACCAACAACACCACGAGGAGGGACGCTCTACCCATCTATGTTCTTCCTCATACCTCCCATTGCTACCCCTGGCATAGTACAGATGCTTACAGCTGCTGGCATGCATTCACCCTTCAACTCACTAACACAGCAAAAATGACAGCCCAGCAGGGAAGAGGTGGTTTTCCATTGGGTTAGTGAGCTGAACTGGCTTATTAAAGGGCCCGGTGAGTACCAGAGCTGACACTGGAAAGGATACACGGAGACAAGAGCCTTGAAAGAAAGCAGAGGAATGAGATCTCCCTCTTTTGGTGAGCTGTTAGATAGGCTTTACTGGCTGTTAAAACGCTTGGAAGGCAACTGAGACTTTTGATTGCAGGAATAGGCACATTAGGTAAATGCTTGCAGTAAGATAGCAGTAGTCAGAAAGGTGGTGTTTAAACTGGCTTTATTAAGTCTCAGTGCAAACAGTTTGATTAAACTGGAGTTTATCACACATTTAGAAACAGTAATTTCAGTTATTTGCAGGCTAGCAAAGCCTCATTTACGCTCTCTCCATATTTACAAGCTTTTCTTTAACTGTCATTTGCTATAAAAGCAACTTTAAAAAACAATTCTTTTGTGCCAAAGCTCAGTTTTCTGCAAGAGGTGGTTTCTGTGTAAATGCCATGAAATAAAGCAGATCCTCAGCTTGGATTCTAGCTCTTCCAGTCACTGTTTACAGAACGGTGGGTCCCAGTAGTTTGAAGCAGCTGTATCAGTTTGTCAGAGTCAAAATCAGCTCTTTTCTGCTAGTTGCTTGGTTTTCCTGTTCTGAGATGATATACTATGACTCTGGCCTCCAGCCAGTCTACATGTAACTGTTTGAGTGTACCTTGCAAAACAGCAGATCTGGATTCTGGCAAAAATATAATTAAATTAATATAAAATTGTATTTAATTCTTACAATGTGCTTTATAAAAAAATAAGTTATTTGCTTGTCCTCCCAATACCTTCCTGGAGGCTAATGCTAATATCTCCTTTTTACATATGGGGAAACTGAAGCATGGAAAGCTTAAATGTCTCACCCTAAGTCAGCCAGCAAGTCAAGAATACTGTATCACTTGTCTTTCTAATACCTATTATAAGCTTTTTGATTATTTGGGGAAGTGAAGTGTATAGGTGAAAATACAAATATTATTTAGATTGTTTTAAAATGAGCATGCCCACAGCTTTTGAAACTAAGTGCTTTTTATTCATATGTATCTAGATTTGTATTAAGATAAAGTTAACAAATATTTAGTATTGGTTTCAGTCACTGAAACAAATAATCTGTCTAACACTATTCAGAGAATGCTTTTGTGCTACAAATCAGAGCAACCTCTCTATGTTATTGGAAATAGCTAATTACTTTTATATTCAATATCTGTAGGCAAAATCCTTGTCAGCAGTGAAATGGGAATCAGTCGCTCAGCTGTGCTGGTGGCTGCTTACCTGATGATCTACCACCATATGACCATTCTGGAGGCTCTGATGACTCTGAGAAAGAAGCGTGCCATTTACCCCAACGATGGCTTTCTGAAACAGCTAAGGGAGCTCAACGAGCAATTGTTGGAGGAACGAGAGTTGGAGCATACTGGAGATGAAGAAGTCACTCCTAGTCAAAGCCCTGTTGTCCATGCTGGGACTTCCTCCCAGCTGTCTGGAGTTGGGGACTCAGAAAGCATCATGGGAGCCAAAGCCCACTCCATCACAGTAGAAGAAGAGGACACCAGCAGCCTGCTGGGTAGTCTTATGAGTTCTTCATCAATGGGAAAAACTAGCTGGGTTTCCAAACACTCCACCCTCATCAGTGAGGAGGAAGAGGAACAGTTGTATGAGGAATGGAGGAAGAAACAAGGCCTGCCTGCAAAGGAACCAGGAGTTAACCATGGAGCAACATCTCCAAAGCTTCTGGATCAGGAAGGGGAACAAACTGAGGAGGATGTGGAACAGAGGATCCATGACTGGCAGCGTAGAAATGAGAAGTACCATATACAGGGTCCACCCAGGGAGGAGGATGGAGATTCCAGCATGGGAGGAAGACCTTACCCATCAGGTGAATTCAGTGATGTTGAGAGCGTGAGCAGTTTTGAGATCCGAACCCTAAAACAACAGCTGGAAGCCAGTAGCTTTAGCAGGATGAGATGCCGCACAGGCTCTGTGTCTTCAGAGAGCACTTGGGACATGTGGAACCAGAGGCTTCTGGAGATTGAGAAGGAAGCTGCTCAGAGGTATCATTCTAAGAATAAAAATTGTGGGGAAAGACAATCCCCAGAAACAGGAAGAAAGGAGAGGGATGTGGATGAGGAGAGTGTGTTTTCAGACAGTAGCTCCTTTTACAATTTTTGCCAAAAGAACAAAGACAAGTTAACTCCTCTAGAAAGGTGGAAGGTCAAGAGGATCCAGTTTGGCTTTCACAAGAAGGATTTAGAACCATCATCATCTTCTGCACCATCTCCAGCAGAAGATGGCAGTCAGGCAGGCGGGGAGGGGACAGAAGGGAAGAGTTTGTCAGATATTAACCTGACTGCTTACCAGGCTTGGAAAATGAAGCGGCAGAAGAAGGTGGGCAGTGAAAGCAAGGAGGAATTTGTGGAGTTTGCCAAAAGCGAGGATTCTGCTTCAGCTAAAAAGAAGCAGAGGCGTATAGAGCTCCTTGAACATTCAAAGAAAATTTTAGAAGAAAGCCAGTCCATGTGCAGCTGGGAGACAGACAGTACGATGAGTGGGAGTATCCCACTTTCAGCTTTCTGGCCCTCAGCACCTTCTGCAAGCGGTGCTGAGGATGCAGCTTCTGTACTGAGCATGCAGACAAATCATTCATCTTTATCACAGACCAGGAGCAACACAGGGGCAATGCAGCCTCAGATGCCAAGTATACCCCTTCCCAGTCTCCCAGTTGGTCCAGGTGACACAATATCCATGGCAAGCATTCAGAACTGGATTGCTAACGTGGTCAGTGAAACCATCGCTCAAAAGCAAAATGAGATCATGATGCTGTCCCGTCCATCATCTGCAATGGCCTCCAGCGTAATGTCAGGAGACCTTGGCAGGCGTGTAGATGATGATAAGGTTTCTCTTCTCAGTGCTCAGAGTGGCTCATCTCTTGCTACCTCTCAGCTTCGCCAGCAGGACATGCACAGGGCTGAGTCTCAGTCTGTCCTGTCTTGCAATACCTCAGTGAGTGCAAGGACAGAAGGGACTAGTTCAAACATGAAGACTACACAGACGAGCAAGCCACTGTACAGCCTCTTTGCTGATGATGTTGACCTAAAGAAACTCAGGAGGAAAGAGAAGGAGATGCAAATGGAAATGAGAGAGAAAATGTCAGATTATCAAATTGAAAAGGTGATCAGAGACAATAAACGCAGCACTTTATTTAAAAAAAAGATGACCAAAGGAGAGCAAAATGAAACAGAAGATGACAGAGACAGTACAACAAACAGCCACAGGCGCCCCTTGCAAGCAGATCTTGACAGAAGTGATACAGTCTTTGATCTGTCCAGTCAGCCTGCAGACACAGGTGCACTCGAGTCAGAGATAGAGACTGATATTACCAAGTGGCTCAGTAGCCTGAAAGCAGAAAGAGAACCACCATCATACTATGATCAAAGTGAGAAGGCTAGAGAGAAATATAGCAGATCATCCAAAGTTAGAGAGATGGATTCTGAAACATCCAGTTACAGATTCTCCAGATCCCAAAGAGAAGAGCTAGACAGCTGTTCTTCCTATGAGTCAAAAGGAGATTCACTGAGAACCATGTCAAGATTTTCCTCTGCTTCTGCAAAGGAGGATAAAAAGATGTATACATTCACAAGGTCAAGGGTCAGTGAGACAAGTTCCAGAGAAAAGAGCCCAGAGCTGCATGTTTTCAGTCAAACACCTGAACCGTCCTTTGACTCTGAATCCCCTGAACCATCTACACAGAGTCGAGTTAGATCTCGTCATGTGGAGGCATGTGAAGAGGAGGCCAGGTCAGACATGTCAGAATTTGGAGCTAAGAGAAAGTTCACCCAGAGCTTTTCAAAGTCTGAAGAGGATGGAAAGAAGGAGGCAAAAGTGGAACAAAGTGAAGAAAGATTTGCATCTAGACAGTTCTCTCAGTACAGGCGAAGCATGCGTAAAGAAGAGGAAGAAGAGATGGATGATGATGCCATTATCGCTGCTTGGAGAAGCCGACTAGAAGAAACTACGGCAAAGCTCCGGCGGAGAAGGGAAGAGTGACCACGATCAGATTATAGGAACACAAGCAGAGCCACAGAGTCCCTGAATCACTCATCATTATATTTCTGATAATCCTTTGTGGTTTGTAGGGCATTTCCTGCAGATAGTTCTCTTCTTAATCAAAAGCGATAAAGGGAAGAGGTCAAGTTTTGGAAGTGTTTGTGGTTTGTCAGAAAGAAGATGCTAGTATTAAATGATCAATGTAGGTAGGAACACAATGTTAGAAGCCATTAGGAGCCAGACAATGTTTCAGCAGTAAAAGCAAGTAATAGTGGTACCTCAATTCGAAAGACCAATCACATCCCATTTTGGTTATTTCAATTTCCTAGTCTTGTTAAAGACTGGACATATTTTTTCTAGGATCTTTTTGATCATAAATGGAAGAAGCCAACAGCCTTTTCTAGGAACTTGAAGAATGTTCCTCTCTTAATCAGTTTTACTTTATACCACTGAGAAGATATTGCCAGGTAGGTTCCATTTTTCTGCACCAATCTTATGAATGTCTACAGAAATAAGACAGTTCAGGGGAATACATGTACTGTTTTACTTTACTAAGTAGCAGAAGCAGAGTGAAATACTAGAAAAAAGATTCCTCCTTCTTTTCAGAAGTTCAATGCAGTAATGAATGTAGTCTTGTGGTACCATTGTTTTCTATTAGATGGAGTCATCTCTGCTCCAGTACGGTTGGCTCCTCCTAATAACTTTGGGTTGACAAAGGAAAAATACAGTAATATTAGCAGCCTTCTAAAAATTATGTTCTGATCTAGTTAGAGATGGAGTTAGGGTTAGGATTTGTGTTCGGTTAGGCTGGGTTTCTGAAGTACTGACTTCAGTTTGCTTTATGTATGCAGCTCAGCTAAGTCTGTGCTTTTATGTCTATAGTCAGATTGTCATGTATTAATTTTCAACATGATTGCCTTAAAAGAAAAGAGTGATACACAAACTGACCTCATAATAAAATGATGTATAACCAAAGTGTTGGTATAAGGCACCATGCACCTAAGGACGGATTGTATGTCTGTTGAATGCGGTACTTGGAAGCTCATTTTTAGGAGGTGGTAGGTTTAGCTGATGTGTTACAGTTCACATGTTGTTTGTATCACAAGCTACAGAGCCCACTTTTCAGAGTGAGTGGAAGGAGAACAATCTCCATGTTAACTGAGTACACCAAGTTAAGAGCCTCGGGTCTTTCCATGCCCTGCAGAGCCTCGTGAGCTTGTGTGACAGGACCTGCCAGGCCTGCCACAGCATCACTTGTGTGGCTCGTATGACACTGTGTCTTTGACACATCAAAGCACCCAACTCTTTGTCACCAGTCAACACCCTCCACCTCTCTCTTATAAACACCCAGGCCAGTTTCTCCTGATTTCTACTTTAGAATTATCTGTTCCCTCTTCTGTACAGACTGCATTTTGAAACAACAAAACCCTCTGGCAGAGCTGAGTATAAAACAACAGTGGAGGAAGGATGCAGTATTGCTCTCACATGAAGTTTTGTCTTCCTTTTTCTTGCCATCTCTTCTCCCTCCCACTGTGATGCTTAGAGCTCATTATTACTATTATGCTAGTACCTCTCCCTATTTTAATTGTGTAATACAGACAGTAAGCTCCACAGGGCAAGGGCCTGGTCTTTGTCCTTGTCTGTATGACGCCACGCACATCAGCAATGCTATCTAAATAATGGTTACTGATAACAAAATGCAGCTGCCAATTTTCCTAAACTTAGAATCATTTCTCTCAACTATAACTCACTGATTAGACATTATCCCTGCTTCTCTGAAGATAAAGATGACTCTTTCTGACAGCCAGGACTAGGGTAAATGATAGCTACTTATTGTCAGGTGAATGGAGTCTCAAAATCAGGTGATTGAACAATAACAGGGGTAGAAAAATAAGAGAAAGAACATATTTTACTTGTGTGTGGGGTTTTTTTTTGAGTACTCAGATTACATTTTTGAAGTACATAAGGAACATGGTCTTGTTAATATTTCAGGCATCCAGAGATGCTATGAGGCTTATAATGCACTTCTACTACAATATAATATATAATACAATGCATCCCTTGTTTCTGCATACTTCTGTGAGATGTATTTTTTTAAAGTAGTGGAATTCCAGGCTTTGATCCACATTCTGAGATTGTATATTACATTTCTGCAATGTGTGTTAGGACAGGCATTTTCCTCTTTTCTTCATCCCTGGTAAAGTTGCTCTGTGGAAAACAAATCTGCATATCCATATTTCGAGCTGGCTTTAATTTCACTCTAAAAAAGGTCTTAAGTTTCGATGGATCAAAGTGGAAGTGTGCGATACCTTCTGGCACTGAATTTATTTCTTTATCAAAGGCTGGTTCCCTCTGAAAAATCTCTCTCCCCCTTCCTATGGCTGGCTACTCCTCTCAACAGAAATGTCTGTCCTCTGCAGTACTGTAGGGGGCATCTTACACTGTAAAAGATGAGCATTGTATGATGTAGTAATTGGTTTCATTTTGCACTGTACAGCACAGCCTTTGTTTGGGTAGCATTTTGATTTAAACACTAATCTAGGTCTGCCGCACAAATAAATTATTCAAGACCGAGGGGCAGAATATGGTTCTATAACAAGCCTGAGCCAAGCCATCCTGATAGTGAGTTTTGACCCTTCTGGGAAAGGGTTAAGTGGGTTCTGCTGACTCACTGAGGTAGGTGGCTTATTAGTTCACTTGTGTAAAAGGGAGATAAAAATGGTTTGCTGGGGAGAGGCCATCTAAGATGCTGGCTGAGCAGTCATGAGGGAGAAGCCTTAGAAATAGCTGAACTTTATTTTCTTATTGCTTATATCCTTGTTAATAAAGCCAAACCCCCAAAGCAATAAGGGGGTGGGGATCATTTTGGACTCCATTCAGTGTATGGCCTGTGCTTGAAAGCGAGATGGGAAAGGCTCCAGCTCACAGGTATAAATTACATGAAACAGTGACATAAAGACCTTGCATGGTGAAAATATTAAAGCATTCAGTCATAAGACCAATAACCAGGAGAGACAGAAATGGAGAGGTTGAAGGCAGGCTAGAAAGTCAGGTTTTAAGATGAGAATTTAGAAGATAGGGAATCGGTGAAAGGGGAGAGATCTGCACAGATTCTTTCAGGTAACCAGAGCTGCAGAGTGAATGGTTTTTCAGCAATGATGCTGGTCTGACATTAGATTAAAAGAGTAGGTAAGTACCCAAATTTATCTAGGAAGGATTTTTCAGCAAAGATGTGCTGGGACTGATATTTTTGCTCAGCCTCAGTTTGCTGCTGTAGGCAGGAGGGGTTTTTTTGGCATTGTATAGTGGAAGGTGAAAGTGTAAGGAGCATCCATACAGTCAGTTAAGAATATAAACACAAGAACATCAGAAAGGCTGCATGAGGTCAGACCAAAGGTCCATCTGGCTCAATATCCTGTCTCTGACAGAGAACAACAGTGAATACCTAGGGAAGAATATAAAAGCAGTGATATAAGTGATATTTCCCCAGCATGATCTTCCAGCTTCTAATCACTTGCAACTCAAGGACTTCCTGAGCCAGATGTGATATTTTTGTATTTAATCGCCCTTGATAGATTTTCCTTCTATGGAGGTGCCTAGTCATTTTCGAGTTACAGTCATTATAGCCTTGTATGCACTAGCCTCTGTGATCTCTTGTGGCCAGAACTCCCACAACTTACTCTACACTGAATGCTAAGCCATGTCCTTTTTTGTCTGTTCTGAACCAGCTGCCCACTAGCCTTCTTTAATGCCAGGATAATTTATAGTTAGTATCTACATGCCCCACATGATTTTACCCCCCTCTATTGTTATGCCCTGTCTTTAGCTCTGTTTTTCAGCCCGCGTTACTCATTCCTTATATGGGAGCTGCTCCATGTCTCTGATTATCCTGGCCATTCTTCTCCAAACCCTTTCCAATTCTACTTTGTCACATTTGAGATGAGGGACGAAATCCTTACACAGTATTCTGGGTGCAGGTGTGGCAAGGACTTATCCTGTGGCATAATGACCTTCTTTTTTCCATTCTCTGTTCCTTCCCTATTAACTCCTAACAGTCTGCATGCTTTTTTGGCTGTTGCTGAGCACTAAGGTGATATTTTCATGGAACTACTTATTATAGCCACAAAATCTTGTTGCTGGATGGCAATGGTCAGCTCTGAGATCATAATTTTATATGTTAAGTTTTCTTATGTGTAATGCTTTACATTTATTAGCCTTGAATTTCATCTGCCATCTTAGTGCTCCGTCTCACTGGCCTCTCATTTCTACTACTCTGTTTCCTTAATGTCCTTTGAACAACATAGAAACTCAGAGTATGTGGGAAGCAAAGTTAAAGAGGGATACATGAGAGAGAAACCCATTTGAAGTTGGTCTGAGTGAAGTAAGAAGGAAGAAAGTGATAAAAGCTGGAGAGCTAGGAGATAAGAAGTGTTCAAAAAGAGATCTGAAGACAATAGGCAAATTAAGAAGGGGACCTACAGTGGATGGAGACAGTAAGATATGTATGTAAGCTGAGGAGGTTAATGCAAAATATTAATTTGTTTAGATGTATAAAAATCTGGGGAAAGGTTATGGGGCAACCTCTGTGGGAAGGAAGGAGATGGTGGGATTTACAGAAATTACAGGTTTGTGAGAAATGTGAAGGGGACTGTGAGAAATTGAAAGGGTGAGAGACATCAGTGGGACATAGATGATAAAATGACATCTGTGCTAGACTAGGAATTCAATGTGGCAGAAGCAAGTTTGGAAGGAAGCGGAAATGTGCCAGAAATAAGCTATTCCTAGCGTAACAGCTGCATTCTGCATTGTAATACTGATAGGTGTGGGGCCATGGCCCATTTCCCCCCATTTAGGATTTTCAGGGTAATTTGATTTATTGCATGTGGCAGTAGTTTAGACTGGATAATTTTAAAAGGAGTTTAGCACCATTTCCTTCTCTTACAGCACCTTAAGAAATGCTTACACATTATCTATAGTGGAGAGCTATGTGAATTATGAGA